GGTGTAGGGAGTTTCCTCTTCCACCCCCCTTCGGGGAGGGGTTTACACCTCCCCCCATACCCCCTTCCCTGGACTTGGACGGGGCCGGTCGCGAGCGGTCAAAGCGTCCAAAACAGTTTCGGCGAGGAAGCCCACATCATCTGTTTTACTACGGTTTTGGCCCCATTTTGGCCTCTTGGGAGGGCGATATATGAAAATGTATGTATGTATGTATGTATGTATGTATGTATGTATGTATGTATGTATGTATGTATGTATGTATTTTATATATATATATATATATATATATATATAAATATATATAAGTATATATATATATATATATACACACAAGACTGCAGTGGCGCTTCGCGCCATGCACCTTGGTCCTTGAAGATTGGTATGCAGGCGGAAATGGCAGGAAGGTCAAGCGGACAATTTTGCGATAACTCCTTGCTGCCTTGTCTGGCATCGCCGTTATAATAATGTTGCTCGTTATCCCTCCTCCATGCTTATTTTTCTTCATTCTCGCCATGCCCTGGGTATTCTCCCCATCCTCCTCAGCTCTTTTTGCGGAGGCTCCTCCTTGGAGAGCCTCTGGGGGCCTCACCAAAGTTATCAGCTTTCTTAAAGTCTTCTGGAGGCCTCCTGGGCGTGTTCTGGGGGCCTCCGGGGCTTCCTAAGGCCAAGCTGCCTCTAACCGCAGTCTCCCTGAACGCCCCGGTCACGATTTGGAATGCTTCGGAGGGTGTCTTGGGGCCATCTTGGGCCGCCATGGGGCTCTCTTAGGGCCATTTTGGACCCCTGTTGTGCCGTTCTGGGGCTCTCTTGGACTGCCTGGAAGCCCTTTCGGATGGTTGCGGGGCGATTTTGCAGCCTCCCAAGCGACTTCGGACGCCCAGAAGACCGCTGTCTTGGAGTGTCGGGAAGCCGAAAAAAGGATAACCCGAAATTCACCAAAAACTTGCATTAAATCAATGATTATTCCCTCTTGGGGCCTTCTTGGGGGTGCTCTTGGAGGCCTCTTGGTACGTTTTGGAGCGATCTTTCGGGGTATGACGGCTTCTTGGAGCGCTCTTGTGCTGTCTTGGGGTTCTCTGGGCCTAGGTGTGCTGCGAAGGCTTGGCAAAACGCCCTGCGATGCCTGGGGGGCCGCTTCGAGGCCGTCCGAAAGGTCCCAAAGCCCCAGATCCCGGGAGTCCGTTTTTTTTTGGGGGGGGGGGACGGGTTTTCCCCCCGCCCGGGCTTGTAAAAATATCGGAAGAGGAATGAACATATATATATATATAGAGAGAGAGAGAGAGAGAGAGAGAGAGAGAGAGAGAGAGAGAAGAGATTTAGATGCACATTATATATATATATATATATATATATATATATATACATATGTATATGTGTATATTTACACACACATATATTGCCCCAAGAAGCGCCCAGGAGGCCCCGAGAGGTCCCAAGGTGGCCCCCCAGAGGGCCCCAAGCGGCTCCAACAAGCCCCCCCGAGGCACCCGAGACGCCCAAGAGCCCGGCAGGACCCCCAAGACGCCCCAAGAGGCCACCAGAAAGCGCCCAAGAGATACCCGAAGAGGCTCCGAGAGGCATCCAAGAGACCTCTGGCCCTTTTGCTTGCCCTCCTCCTCCTCCTTCTCTTCTCTTCCTCCTCCTCCTCGTCCTCGTCGTCCTCCTCCCTCTCCTCCTCCTCCTCCTCCCCCTCCTCTTCCTCCTCCTCCTCTTCCTCAGATTCATGCTCCGTCTCCCCGCCCCCTCATGCATCCATCCAGCCTCCTCCTTCTCCTCCTCCCTCCTTCGCGCGGTTCGACCGTCCCCTTTTTTTGCTCCCGCACACGGGCGGGGGTACGCGAACCGTCTAGAAATTGTCAGGTGTTGCAATGAAGGAATCGATATTGTCCATCAGGAAATGTGCCAACTACGCTGGCGAGCGAACGTGATTCCGACTCATTCGGTCGACCGCTGGATTCAGAGAACTTCTCCAGGCCGCAACCAACATGCTAGTGGCAATGATGCGTTGTGAATTGCCGCGTGTGCTGGCATCCCGCTACCTGGCGCGATAGACAAAAAGCGTTGCAATAATTAGCATTCAACTGCTCAGTATGTTCAATGTTATCCAAATGAACATCCCCAGCATGTGCTACCTGATTTGTCAAATCGGCTGGCATGCGCACGCTGTCAATCATATCGCTTCATTTGCCAAATACAAAAATCAAGTTTACGACGTTCCTGACGACGCTGGGTACAAGTTCGCATGTCATGCTCACCGCTCGCTACTTTTCTCTGCCAATCTGCAGACCAGCGCTGGGGCGCCATTGCAAGACAAGCCGCACACAATAACGGGGGCCTACTATGTCAATAACTCGCTTCAGCCGTCATGGCAACTGGAGCCACACACTTCAGCAAAAAGGAGAAAAGGACGGAGAGCGACGGGGAGAAAAGGGCGGCTGCGGAGAGGGAGGGGGGAGGGAGGGCACTCTCTCGCGGCGGCACCGCTGGGAACGTGTGGGGCGGCTACGCTGCGGGGCAGCCCCTGGCAACGGCGCGGCGCGAAGTCGCGGGCGCACCCGTGGGCGGGGCCAGCAGCCGCAGTGCGGGCGAGGCCCAGCAACCGGGGGGCCGGGGCGCCCGGGCGGCAGGCGGACCGGGGCGCCAGGGCGGACCTTGGCGCCGCGCACATTCGTTGTAACATTTGCCCGAGCTTCACGGAGTGAGGGCGGGTCGTCTTCAAAACGAGCCTCTCGCCTCAGCACCGCGCGCACTCGTCTTGAAAGAATGTGCAAGTACTTCGCAAATTGAGGGCGGGCGGTTTTCAAACTGTGGATCCCGCCTGAGCGCCAAGCACACTCGTTCAACAAACTTTTGTAAGAGTTACGTACACGGATTGAGGGCGGGTGGTTTTCAAGATGTGGTTCTCTCTTTGGCAGCGCCCACACTCGTTCAGCAAAATTGCAACGGCTGCACGGATTGAGGGCGGTTCCTTCTCAAAATGTGGTTTTCACTCTAGCGCCGCGCGCACTCGGCTTAAACTCTTGCAGGAATTTCACAACTTCCCAGGGTCAACGTGCCAGAAATGGCGTTCTGGAAGGACTCGGGATTCTGAGGGCGCAACAGCTACGTTGATCCGCGGCGTTGAAGTCCCGGAAATGGCGTTCCGGCAGAATTCCGGATCTTCAGGACGCGACTGTCGTATTGATTCGTGGCGCTGCAGTCCCCAGGATGGTGATTTGGCACGCTGCAGGGTTTTGAGACGGCTGTCTCCCAACGAGGCAGCTTCCTCAGTGGAAATTAACCCTTGTCGGTGCCTATGACAAGGGAGCTTGGAGGGACGGTTTATTCCGACATCTTGGACGAGTCTTGGGTCTACACTGGTCCTCCTCCTCCTACTGAGAAGCTCCTCCTTCTCCTCCTCTTCCTCCCTGTCGCACCCCCAGACGTGTTGGTACGGAGGCAGTCGTTTCGCCTGGGACTTCCCCACAACGTACGATCATGAATCTTACAAGATGCAGCACATTCACGACTAGAGAGAGCGTTTTTTTTTTTTTTTTTTTTTTTTTTTTTTTTTTTTTTTTTTTTTTTTTTTTTTTTTTTTTTTTTTTTTTTTTTTTTTTTTTTTTTTTTTTTTTTTTTTTTTTTTTTTTTTTTTTTTTTTTTTTTTTTTTTTTTTTTTTTTTATATATATATATATATATATATATAAAAAAAGCTGTGTATCTCGCCATAGCGCCGCGCATCTAGCTTTAGCCGTGTACAACAGCTTCACGGATGGAAGGGGGCGTTTTGAAAATGTCGCTCTCGCCTTAACGCCGCACATAGTCGTTTAAAAAGCTTGTATCACCTTCACGGATCGATTGAGTGGCGTTATCAAAATGCGGTTCTCGCCTCAACGCTGCGCACACTCGTCAAATTTGCAACAGCTTCACGGGTAGTTTCTCGAACTGTGGCTCTCGCCTTATCTCCGCACACACTCGTGTGAAAGAGGTGCAACAGTTTTACGGATGGAGGGGGGCGTTTTCAAAATGAGACTCTCATTCGTCTTGAAAGCGTGCACCAGTTTGAAGGATGGAAGGGAGCGGCTTTCAAATGGCACTCTCGCCCCAGCGCTGCAACCACTATTTTGTAATTGTACTAGTTTCACAGATGGAGGGCGGTTCCATTTCAAAGTGGAGCTCTCGTCAGCGTGCCACGGACGATCGCCCCAAACAAGGCAGCAGTTGCAAGACCTGAACACTGGTCGTTTTGGAAGCCCCTTTCAGGATTAAGGACTGCTATTTCTCGAAACGGAGGTCTCGCATGAGACTTCGCTAGGTGGAGAAGCCGAAGTCATTGACACAGGTAGAACTGCACGGGTCGACGGCTACTCTGTTCAAGATGGAGCTGACTCCTGAGATGTCCTCGAACTTCATGACCACGAGGGTAAGCTTGCGCAACAATTACACGGATGGGGGGCGGTCCTTCTTCGAAAAGGGGACTGCGCTGAACACATCCTCGAACAGCACGATCACCGTGCTTCGCATTCCTGCTTACGCGCCAGAGTTGTGTAAATATATCCCGTTTCAAAGCGCAGCCCTTGCCAAACTGGCAGGCCCAGCTGTGCTGGTATTTCAAGGGTGGGCGCTCGTTGCAATGAGAAGGAGGACCTGTAAGGGCAAATGAGGAAGGGGCTTGGGACGGCAGGGGGTTTTGTAGCATCGCTTATGCATCTTCGATTTGCTCATTCTCCTCCTCCTGCTCCTCCTCCTCCTCATCCTCTACGTCCTCTACGTCTTCTATGTCCTCTACGGCCCGATGTCCTACAAAGACGAGTCCCGCAAAACAAGGCGCAGACCACAGCAGGAACCTGACCGAGGCAGCCCTGGCCAGCGATAGTTGCTGAGGGTGGACCGAAGACAAAAGGATGGAAGGGTGCCCTTGGAAAGGTGTTCATCCTTACGATCCTGCTTGACTGTGGAAGCCCCACGAATTACTCGGAAGGCCTGCCTGCCAGCCCGTCCCCCCGCCCAGGCCGAAGCCTGGTAGCTCTTCCCCTGGGTGTCCGCGTTCCAGGTCGGCAAGCCCCATGGCAGGTTGGAGCGGTCCTTGCCGTAGACGGACCACGTCGGCAACTTGCGACTCACTGGCAGGGAGCTCGTCTCCGACAAGTGGAAGGACGTGTTGAGGATCCTCATGGTGTCTGGCTTGGCGACCTCCGGCATCCGCGCCGAGTTCTTGCCGAACGAGAACTCCAAGGACTTAGGCGCCCCGTTCCGGCCTGGGAGCCGGCTCACGCCGAGCGGCCCTTTTGGCATGTAGGGATCGCGGAAGTACTCCCCCGGCGCGGCCTGGCCAGTCTGGCTCCCGGTGGTGGCGGGGACCCAGCTGCCAACGTTCGGGTGCGCCGATATAGAAAGGGGTCAAGGACGCACAAACGAATAGACATAGATCCCAGGATTCCACTTATTTACCATACTTTCCAGATGCTCGTCTTGCCCTCCGCTACCCATGTCTGTGTGTTTGTCCGCTCCTGAAAAGAAGGGACGCTAGCGCAGGGTGGCCCCAGGCATGTGAGCGGACGAGGGGGTGGGACCAAGAGGAGGCGGCCACGAAATCGACAAGAATTCATGGCTCCAGCCACGGTGCCCACGCGCCCTCACTACGGTCAGTGGAAACAATAATCCAACAACAAAACATCCCTGGACCACTCCCTGGACAACCCGGACAACCCATGCCGAACAATGACGACAAGACGGCCTATCACAAACAACCCCCTGGACAAACCAGGGTGGATCGACGGTCCCTCCGGACAATGCCCCTTGTCGACTATACGCAAGAGTGACCCTGGGTAAGAGTGACCTTTGGTACGCGACTTTTTGGGAGCCGCGGGGGGACCAAAACTGGGTGCGCAAGCAGCTGCTACTGCTTCGTTTTCAGCCATCTGGGCACCCGTCCGTGCCCGCACCAAAGGTCACTCCGGCGAAAGGTCACTCTTACGTCTATGAAGGGGAACTGGGACACACAAATAAATAAACACGAATCAAAGGATTCCCCATATTTTCTCATATTCTCTGGGTTCTTGTCTCCCCTCCAGTTCCCATAGTTTCCTTTATTTTCTGGGGGATCGACGATTAATTGTGTCTGTGTGTTTTTTCCCTCCTGGAAGTTGAAGTCCTCGCCGCCTCCTCGACGCCTGGTGGCTGTGGGGGCAGACCTCGGACCTCCGGGGCACCCCTGGAGAGCCCTCGACGAGGCCCGGCTCCTGGAAAGAGCACACCGAGGCTGAAAAAGCCGCCGAGAACCGACGGGAACGCCCGACAACCTCCGACACGGCCCCAAACCGTGGCACCCACACACAATCCTTACCCCCCCCCTCTTCGACGCTCCCGAGACGTACGGGTCCACGTTCTTCCGGTCGGGGGAGATCATGGTCCTCGGGGATCTTCTGACCCGGGTCAATCCAGACCCGGGTCAGCGGAAACCAAAAAACTGCAATGCAGGAAAACAACAAAACAACTGCAGCGCAGGTCTTCGCAAACCAGGGTCAGCCGATAGGCGCGGCCGCCTCGCGGCCACGAGCGGCTCGCTGACCCGAGTCAGCCAGAGGGGGTCTTCGCAGGATCCTGCAGGATCCGGCGCCCTGGCTCACCCCCGTCTGCACCGACCCCCGTTTCCAAAACCAAAAAAAACAAAAAACCCAAAAAAAAAACCAAACCCCCAAAAACCAAACACCGTTTGCTGGCTGTCAGCGGAAACCAAAAACCAACTGCGAGCGGCTCGCTGACCCGGGTCAGCCAGAGGGGGTCTTCGCAGGATCCTGCAGGATCCGGCGCCCTGGCTCACCCCCGTCTGCACCGACCCCCGTCTCCAAAACCAAAAAAAAAAAAAACCAAACCCCCAAAAACCAAACACCGTTTGCTGGCGGTCAGCGGAAACCAGAAACTCGGGGATGGACAGAGCCCCCTTTACCAAAACGTGGTTTAGTGAAAACGTCCTCGGGCTCAAACCTGGCGGGTGCAAGCCTGGAAAATGACGGCCGCGGCGCCCGCTCGAGAACCGAAAACGGACAATTCACTAATCGACGTGTCAGGGTAGGAGGTCTGTCCACCCCTGACAGCAGGAGGAGCAGGAGGAGGAGGAGGAGGAGGAGGAGGAGGAGGGAGAGGAGGAGGAATGGAGGAGGAGGAGGAGGGGTTTCTGTCCGTCCCCGAGAAACCAAAAAAATTAAGCCCCGAGGTCCACGTCGGCGGCTTCTTCCGGAGCGCGTCGTCCTGCCACGCGTACTGCCCCGGCGCCGGCGTGCCCCTCTGCGTCGCGCTTCCGCCGCCGTGCCCCCGCGGCACGGCCGGGAGCGGTGCCCCTCGGGCACCCCGACGGCCCGCGGTTCAAGGACAAAACGATCGGGTAAACGTGAGGCTCGGGTTATGTCGGGCGTGTCCTCCTTCAGGGGGATTTTCGACGAAACATCAAAAATACCCTCAAAATGCCCCCAAAAGGTAAAACAATACCAAAAAAACAGTCCCCAGATTTTTTTTATATATATATATATATATATATATATTATTGTTTTTTTTTGATTTGTTTTAATGATTTTTTTTTTTTTTTTTTTTTTTTTTTTTTTCTTTTTTTTGTTTGTTGATTTTTCGTCGAAAATCCCCCTGTAGGGGGACAGGCCCGACTTAAGACTCGGGTACGGGGGACGCGGGTGGGCCTGACGGGGGCCATCAACAAAAATGGCGAGGCCAAGTCTGAAATTTGACGCGGGCTCCCGCTGCAGACATCCCACGGAAACGGGACCGTCATCCAGGACGCGCTCGTCAAAAAAAAGTCGGCAAGCCCGAGTTCCGACTTGCTCGAGCCTTACGTTTCCCCGATGCTATACGGTAGAAAGAAGAACTGCCTATCGAAGAACTGCCCTGGCCAACCCTGCGACCAACACCAACCAGCCCTCGGGGCAACCCTGACCCACCCCAGCCAACCCTCCTGGCCAACCCCTCCGATAATCTATTGAGTGGGGCAAATCCTCCCGCCAGATTCGGCGGCAAGCGAGGGGGGGAAGGTGGGTAGGAGAAGGCCTTCTCGGAAGGCGGCGGGGCTTCTCAGAAACCCCCGCGCCTTCTGAGAAATGTGCCTTGTCCTCGGGGACGGCTTAGGAACCTCCTCAGAAGGCCAGGGGACTTCCGAGTCTTCCGAGAAGGCCTTCTCTTTCGGGGATCTTCTGACCCTGGTCAATCTAGATTCGGGTCAGCAGGAAACCAAAAACTGCAATGCATGACAACAAAAACTGCAATGCAGGTCTTCGCAAACCCGGGTCAGCCAATAGGCGCGGCCGCCTCGCGGCCACGAGCGGCTCGCTAACCCGGGTCAGCCTGAGGGGTTCTTCGCAGGATCCTGCAGGATCCGGTGCCCTGGCTGACCCCCGTTTGCATCGACCCCCGTCTCTTGAGCCCCGACTCCTTCTGCTTTCCCCCCCTCCAGCTCGCCGCCGATTCAGGAGCACTGAAAGCAACCTCCGGCCGCCGGGGGGCCTCCGGCGGCTCTCGGAGGCCCCCGTTGGCTCTCGTCTCGTGGCCCCTCGCGAGGCCCGGGAGAGCACGACAGGGGTCGGCGACTCCGAAGGGCGTGGCGTGCAGAGGGTGTGGCTTGCAACCGGCCCCCGGGGGGGCACCCTGGGAGGCGGGCGGGGACCTCGACAGAGTTCTCCGCCGCGCCCCGAGGAGGTCCGACGAGGACAGCGTCGTGCCCCAGGGCCCAAACGAACCACACCCCGGCGTAACCGCACCCTTTGTATCGGAGGAGGGCCGCGTGAGACAACGGCGGCCCAAATCCGCTCAAAATCCTGCCCCTGACGCCTCCCTGGGTCCAAACGCAGCTCTTCCCATCTGCGTCCGGCCGTGGCGACGATGGGGTCCGCGCGGGGCCCAACAGGCAACCCTCGGCCTCCACGCGCCCTCCTCCGATTGTGAGTCGACGACCCTCGGAGGCTCCTTCTTGCTGTCGCCTCGTGGCGCTTTGCTCTTTGGCTCTGCGAGCCAGGACGCTTCGCCACTGCTTAATTTTTGCTCTCGCCTCGTGGCTCTTTGCTCTTTGCTCTTCGGCGCAAGAGCGTGCCCCAGGACGGCCTCGGGGGTCGCAGGAGGGGCGCACCGTGGGCCGGGGGGTGCGGTCCGAGGCCGCCGTGCGCTGCGGGGCGGAAGGGGCGGAGGGCGGAGCGGAGGGTGGGAGGGGAGGCGAGGCTGGAGTGCAGGGGAATCGGGAATCGCAGAGGGGGAGGGTCCCCCCTCCGCCTCCTCCTCCTCCTCCTCCTCCTCCTCCTCCTCCTCCTCCTCCTCCTCCTCCTCCTCTTGTATCCTCCTTCTCCTCCTCCTGGGGCATCCTCGCGCTTGCGCGCCGCCCCGCCCCCCCCCCCCCCGGAATTGGAGGAGGGCCTCGCGCCTCGCTCGGCAAGTGCCCAGACCGCGAAGCGCGAGCAACCCTCGGTCGGGCCGTCTTCCTAAGAGGCGGCTTTCGGAGGGAAACTTACACGCAGGCCAAACAAGCATTCAAAGATTGACAAAAAGTGGTCAAAACATCGTCCCCAGACTGTTTTTGTTTTTGTCCCCTGCCCCTGCCCCTGGCCTGGACAGCACGCGTGCCTGCTCGGCTCCACCAACTTCGAGCAGGGGATCGACTGCAAATTTGATCTACCCCACGCTTGGTGCTCTCGTCGATTGCACGACAGATACAGAAGCGCTCGGCGTGCTTTCGAACACTCCACGAGAGCGTCAACCTTGGAGCAAGTCCGTGCTGCAGCCGATCCCCTGCTCGGAAGTCCTTGCCTTTTTCACTGTGGAGGGCAGCCAATGCGGTCCATCGGGGATGGACAGACCTCCCTGTAGTAAAACGTGGTTTAGTGAAAACGACCTGGGGCCCAAACCTGGCGGGCGCAGGCCTGGAAAATAACGGCCACGGCGCCCTCTCGAGAACCGAAACTGGACAATTCACTAATCGACGTGTCACTGTTGGGGGTTTTGTCCACCCCCGATTTTCACCGTGGAGGGCAGCCAATGCGGTCCCAAGGGGCGCCAAAGATGGCCCCCCAAGACAGCATCCGAAGGCCCAAGACAGGAGGCCGCGCACGGGACTCCAGGATCGGCGGCGAGCCCGGGGGAAGCGAGGAGGCCCTCTCAGAAGGCTCGGGCCCCCCCGGCCTTCGGAGAGTACAATCGGGGCGTTGACCTAAGGAACCCTAAATAAGGAACGAGGCCCTTTTTTTCCGTGAGTTAAACTTCGATTCCCGATCGAAAACCTAAGGACAACCTGAGGCAAGCTGCGAAACACTTGAGGAACGCGGAGCCCCTCCCCAACGAAAAAGGGTTCCTTCTTCAGGGCCCCGACTGTATTTCAATGCCCTGGAGTTCGTATTTTCTGGACGTGCTGTCATTCAGACACGGGCGCCTATTGGCGTCGAGCGCGGGGGGGGGAGAAGTGCGAGAAGAGGCAGGCCTTCTCAGAAGGCTCGGAGCCCCCCCCCGGCCTTCGGAGAACTTTTCCGGGCCTTCCCCGAAGACACGGCAAATCTCTGAGAAGGCCAGAAGGCTTCTGAGAAGTCCCGCCGACTTCCGAGAAGCCCTTCTCCGTCTCACGCCTCGGGGACTCACTGACCCGGGTCAATGCAAACCCGGGTCAGTCAGGCCTTGCAGAATCCTGCAAGATCCTGCAAAATCCTGCACCCAAACCCGGGTCAATGCGAAGGATCCTGCAAGATCCTGCAGGATCCTCCACCCAAATCCGGGTCAATGCGACCCTGGCCCTGCAGGATCCTGCACGATCCGGCACTCTGGCTGACCCCCGTTTGCATTGACCCCCGTCTCAAGGCTCCCGAACGCCTCCCCCTCGCTGGCCGCCAGCCAAAGACCGCGAACGGGAACCCGCCCGCTCCTCCCTTGAGAACATTGCCCCAGAGCCTGCACAGGAGGTCCTCCCAAGAGGGAGGGCCCACAGAGGCCCCGAGGAGGCCCCCTGGAGACGACTGTTCCTGAGAGCCCTCGGCGGGCCAGGAGGAGGAGGAGGAGGAGGAGGAGGAGGAGGAGGAGGAGGAGGAGGAGGAGGAGGAGGAGGAGGAGGAGGAGGAGGAGGAGGGAGGAGGAGGAGGGGGGAAGATGAGGAGGGAGGAGCGAGGAGGGAGGAGCGAGGAGCGGAGGAGCGGATGAGCGGCGGAGCGGCGGAGCGGAGGAGCGGGGAGAGCCCCGCTCGGGGCGGCCCCGGGCGCGGCCGCGAGGAACCTGTGCGCTGCGCGCTCGGGGATACTGCGGTGCCTTCCATCCTTCTCCTCCTCCCCCTCCTCCCTCTCCTCCTCCTCCTCCTCCTCCTCCTCCTCCTCCTCCTCCTCCTCCTCCTCCTCCTCCTCCTCCTCCCCCCCTATCGCTGCACCCGAGGCGAAGAGCGAGGGCGGAGGCGCCCATGTGCTCTTGGCCCACGCGTCAGGCCAGGTGGCATGGTGGGCCGATGTACCTGGGACTGCCACGACGGCCCAGAAGAGGGCCCCAGGAAGGACCAGGGCAGACGTCGCCAACAGAGCAGAAGAGGCCCCGAGAGCGGCTCACCGGGCCCCGAAGGCGTCACAGTGTCACTCGAGAAGACCTGGACGGACAGCGCTTTTCGGCTACAAGGGGCAGGAGCAGCCAACATCGAGTCGGGAAATCGGATCGGATCGGAACGTGCGTCGGATCGAGTGCATTTTTTCTTCGAGGACATATCGGGCGTCATGGGGCATAACGTAGCGCGCCCCCCCCGCCTCCAGACTGTGGTGCCGGACGCACTGCGGCTGCGCCGGGGCCGCACTGAGCGGGGGAGCGTTACGTTACAGGGGGGGGGAGAGGGGGGGAGGAGACGGGGCATAACGCGCGTAATGGCCCATAGGCTTGAAAAACACTCTCCTCGGAACGCATCGGCACGAAGCCCGAATCGGTTCGGATCGGCCACGCCGGTATGCACCACAGCGCCACGCAAGCATCAGGCCGCATGGGGTCGTCGGAACATCGGAACAACCGAATCGGATCGGGCTGGCAAGAAGAACATCGCATCGAATCGATCGGATCGAGGCGGGCTCTGAATAGAAGAAGAAACAACGCCATAGATATCAACTTTTGGCGCTCCGCGCGGATTCCTTGGATCTGCGCTGGGCCCCTCTCCCTGGCGCGCGAAGCGCCAGGGGCGGCGCCGGAGGCGCCGCCAGGGGGGCCCAGCGCGGAGCCAAGAAATCCGCGCGGAGCGCAGAAAAGTTATGCTTATGGCTTTTTTTCTGGCCATCGCTCGGACGTCCATTCCCTGTGTTTTTTTCGGTCTCGTGCGTGGTTTTTTCGCCTAAGGATCAAGGATGCACCTCGAGGGCCCTCGCCGAAGGGAAAATGCACACGTCCGAGCGATGCCAAGTTCTCCTTCTTCGTCTGAAAAGGGGGGGGGGGGGCGTCGGTGGCACGCCGGAGGCGTCTCCGACACCTGGGGCGTCCTCGTGGCCGAAGCGCTCCCCGGCCCGGGGCCCGCGCCGAGCGCCGGCGCGGAGGCCGAGGAGCCCAGCGGCATCTCAGGGCCCCAGGCGGGCCCCCTGGGGGGGGGGGGGGCGGGGAGCCCCCGCGGGGGCG